GCTTTTGACATCATGATTTCTTTTCTTTTAAGTACATAAATTCATGGTTTGTATGACAGGTGTTGTAAGGACTGGAAGTCCTAAATATAGGGCATCTCCACCAAAGGGGTGAGATAATGATATGATATGTTCAATCCATGCAGTAAAAGTGTCTGTCTTGTAGGAAAGCTATCTGGAGGGAGAATGGCGCATGCGAAGGAGCTGGAAATGCCGGGTGCACGGATCCAGGGCCCACCACCCGAGGATGTGGCCCACCTGCATGCATGCGCAAAGATATTATTCCGACACGCGGGGCTTGATCCCGTGCACGGACGTAAAAGTGTTAGCCATGGCTGACACTTTTACGTCCGTGCACGGGAGGTGCCACTCACCCCGACTACAGGTGCTCTACCCTAGGAACAGAACGCAAACAGTGGGCCAGTGGAAAATGCACATCAAATGTTACGGTCGCCGTGCATTCTGCTATCCTCATAAACAGTCTATTACAGATGAGGAGGAAAGGAATCTATCTAAGGTTCAGGTATGTGAGCATGCCCCAAGGGTTTGTGGCCCTTGTCATTCTGTGCCGGGTGCCGGGGTCACAAGAAACCTTTATGGGTAGGAGAAGCCTCTCCTGGTCGAAGTCCTCGCCGGAAGACTTTCCACACCTCGTCATTGCTGGCGAGACAATGAGAAGCACTTGCTGGTCGGTAGTGGAAAGCGTTTCCCCATGCTCTAGTTCCATCTCATCCTGTTTGAAGTGAAGGGGAGGCTTCACGTCTTGTCTGAACAGCATCACCAGAGAGACCTGCACGCTCATCTCCTTGTCGAGCGCAAGGTCCTGGTCGAGTATCTGGCTGAGGTCGTCGACATGGCTCTTTTCGGCGTGGCTTGATTCCAGTCTAGGTTGGTCGCGTCTCGTCTCGTCTCTATTCACGGTTGGGGAGAACATGCGGCGCTGCCGCGCAGGTTCCCTTTTCCCGTCCAATACCACGCCAATAGCTGCGGGTATGTGATAAGGACAAAAACGGCGTGCCAACAAGCGCCACAGCGTCCGAAGGAAGAGGATGATATCTCTGTCGGTCGCCCTGACCTTGACGAATGATTGCTCGAGTGTGAGCCGAATCTCTGGCTCAGAGTTGTCCCGATCCACTGTCATGGTTAATTTGGGGGGTTTGTCAGCGCGGCTTCCATGAGGGATGGCGGCTGGCGGATGGCGAACAGGGCAGACGCGGAGGGAGGCAACACACATATCTGATTTGCCAAACGGCGTCTTGTTAAGTTGAGTCTTTGGTTGGATACCTCAGGGTCTATTAACTTGCATTGTTGGGATTAGCGCGTTTCTTCTCTGTGAGAACGGTGTTATCAGCCGCCAGCACAAGCGTTTTCCAGATACTTTCAACGCTGTAGGCTGCCTTCACAAACCGTTCTAGCCTCGCTTCCTCTGGACCGAGGCAAATGACAGGCCGCTCGGAATATCGGACATAGTCCCTGAAGAATAATCGGCAGTAGGTCACCACATCTTTCTCGCCGCGATATAGGCTTGGTATTTTTACACGCTGCGGCCCGCAAAAAGGTACGATCCCAGTACCCGTGTTTTTGGAAAATCTTAGACGTGGTTAGTAGTAGAAGATACTGTAGGGGCACAGCAGATAAGATTTTCGAGCCCGCGGAGAGAAAAATGCGGACCCCGAGGCCGCGCAGGCACAGGCCGAGACGGCCGAAGCGGCACAGGCACAGCACGAGATGCACGACAAGAAGGTCGAAGTTGACCTCTGGAATCTCGATATTTCGGGTATAACCTCGCAGGAGTTGCGGGAGCTAGGAATTGCCTATATAGCATTTGTTGCACAAGAGATGCACGGGCATGTCGTTGGCATGGCATTCGGGTCCAGATGGGCCGCTACGATGGTGCAACCTTAGGGTAGATGTGCCCTCTGTATTACCTATGGCGCAGTATTAAGTTTCCCACCTAAATAGGGATATGCCCGCATTTGAGACGGTTAGGGAATAGACCCGACACATGCACAATAGTCAGATTTAAACGCATTTTGCACGTCGTTAACATTTCCATCTGGACGAAATCAGATCAGGGAGGGGAGTGGTATTTGGACGCAGTGACTGGGGACGCGTATAAAAACGTAGGTTAGCGAAGGGTGCAGACCCGAGGAAGACGAACACCGCCAGACTGGATACGTGACAGAATAACAAAAATGGGAGTCTACTAACCCCGCATACCGCCAGCGGGGCTCCCTGAGTGGAGGATACCGGGAGGAAAAGGTGCTGCGACGAGGATGGGTGGACAGCCCAGATACGCGCCCGAGCAGCGGCCGCCAAGATGCCGTGAGGGGAGGCGGAAGAAGGTCGAGGTAGAAAGCACCACAGGGCCAGGTCGGACAGGGGTAAAAAATTCCCACCGACCAAAATACTGTACACGCAGGAGAAACTGCGCAAGGACGACGAGGCGAGGAGCAGACACGTGCAACGCGTCGGGTATGGAACAGGGAGTCCCTGAACCGCTGGGCCCTGGGTAGCTCGACGACACCTCCGCTGGTCAGCCTGGCGGTTCCAGCCACCGGCACCAGGGTGTAGCTGGGCCCCGATGCTCGTGCTGCGACGCCCAAAACGGCTATGGACAGGGAGTGCCCGCAGGTTCCTGCCTGCACCCTTAGTTCCCTGTTCACCCTTGGTTCCTGTTCACAGCCTCAGCGCTGTTACGGATCTCTGCCTACCAAAGAAACGTTGCTGCAGCAGGGTAGAACAGTAGAATTGACTATCTAGAATTAGGTGTAAAAAGGAGGGTTTGGTACGTTGCACCTAATTCGCGTGCAAGGATTTTAACCTACGCGCGCAAAAAGTGGGTACTGGACGTGCATGCCTATCAATCAGAGATGCAGGTGTGGCTGCGCACCGCCTCGCTGCCGTTTTGGGGCTGTGCGAGTCGGCCGTCGCATTGAAGCCTTACCCCTCCCTTCGCAGCCTGACGATGCGCCTTCCAAGTTCTCAACAGGCGCTCGTCGACATCTTGGCCACGATATCCATCCCCCCATATCGGCAGATTGCCAACGTTTCATTCTCGTTTCGATTGCCAACGTTTCATTCTCATTTCGTAAGTGCTACCCACCTGCCGCGCGATGGAGGGCTTGGGGGCAGCAGCAAGCGCCATCGCGGTGATAGAGATCGCCGCAAAAGTCGGCGACCTCTGCCTACAGTACGTTCGCAAAGTCAAAAACGCCAAGCACGACATCGAACGGTTTCGACAGCACATAGAGGATTTGAAGGCAATCGCCGAAGGTGCGCAGCGGCTTTTGCATGGTCCAGATGGGTCTCGATTTGAGACCGCGCAAAACCTGCACAGCGCCCTTGCGAACGCCCGCTCGCAGCTCGATCCCATTCACACGAGGCTAAATGGGAAACTGAACAATGGCCGTACGCATCGTGCTATGAGACGTGTGGGTCTGCGCGCCTTGGTATGGCCGTTCGAAAGCAAAGAGGTCGAGAAAATCATCAGCGACCTCCGGCAAAAGCGGGACGCGATATCCGCCGCACTCCAAGTGGATCAGATGTTCGTCACCCCACCTACAAGCCTTTATTACGCAGCTAATCTCGGGCAACGGCGCGCTCGCCCTCGACATCAACCGCAAAATCGACTTTTCAAAGCTTCCTGTCGCGAAAGGCGCTGCATTCGATGCCCAGGCGAACGAACACGACCCTAGCCGCCACCCCAACACTCGCGTGGACCTTCTCGCCGACATTCACAAATGGATCGAGGATCCCAACGGAAAATGCATTTTCTGGCTGCGTGGCATGGCCGGCACCGGCAAGTCGACCATCTCTCGAACGGTGGCTAAAAAGCTTTCTGCGGCAAAGGTGCCCCGTGCGAGCTTCTTTTTCAAAAAAGGCGAGGGCGACCGCGGCAGCGCGGCCATGTTCTTCACCACCATACTCGCCCAGCTCGTCCACCAGGTGCCGGTCTTGGCATCACATGTCCAGAGCGCAATCGAGAACGATCCAGCCATCGTCGACAAGAACAAAAAAGAGCAATTCGAGAAGCTCCTCCTAGAGCCGCTGGACAAGTGCAAAGGCACCGGTTCCCCGCTGGTTGCTGTGGTGGTGGATGCGCTTGACGAATGCGATCGAGAAGAGGACGCCACCGCCCTCATCCGCCTTCTCTCCAGAGCTAAGGAGGCGACATCCGTCCGCCTCCGATTCTTCGTCACCAGCAGGCCCGAGCTGCCCATCCGCCTTGGCTTCGGGGACATCGACGGCAGTTACCAGGACCTCGCCCTCCATGAGATTCCCGAGCCCGACATAAAAAAGGACATTTCCACGTTTTTGCGGTCGGAACTAGCCGAAGTCCGGCACAAGTTCAACAAGACGGTGCCACCCCCGGGGCTAACGCTAGATTGGCCCCCACCCGCCAGTTTTGAAGATCTTGTCAACATGGCTGTGCCGCTCTTCATCTTCGCATCGACGGCTTGCCGCTTCATTGCCGATATCCGCTACGGCAATCCCGTGGAACAGCTAGACAAAATTCTCGAGTACAAGACAAAGGGAGGATGGTCTCAACTTCACGCGACATACCTGCCAATTCTGAACCAGCTTCTTCTCAACCGCACGGATACAGAGTCGGCCGGACGCATAGAGGAAGAAGCCGAAGTCGTTGCATGGTTCCGCGACATCGTTGGAACTATTGTACTCCTTGCCGATCCTCTCCCTTCTGCATCGCTCGCAGGTATCCTTGGCAGACCCCCGCTCGACGTGGACTCTAAGCTGTGCACATTGCACTCTGTCCTTAACATTCCGGATAACCCCCTGGTCCCTGTCAAACTGCTCCACCTGTCCTTTCGCGACTTCCTTGTCGACCAAAAGAATCGCGATGCGAACCCCTTCTGGGTCGACTCGCGAGAAACCCATAAGCAGCTGGCAAACCGCTGCCTCCAATTGCTGTCAACCGGCGACACCCTCAGGAAAAACGTTTGCAATCTGCGTTATCCCGGCACGCTCCGGCCCGAAATCAGCCCGCAGAATATCAATACCGCCTTGCCGCCCGAGGTCCAGTATGCCTGTCGATACTGGGTCCATCACTGGAAGGAGAGCAGGCGGCAAATACGAGATGGTGATCCCGTCCACCTCTTTCTGACTAATTGTCTCCTGTACTGGCTTGAAGCTTTGGGCGTAACGGGGCGAATCCGGGAAAGTTTTGACATGGCAAACTGTCTGCTGGATATGCTCGAGGTAAGTATTTCTACCATTTTAAATCAGTATCAGAAGCTTATTGACAAAACTTTTAGCCGGAGAACAGCACCGCAATGTCAGCGTTGCTTCATGACTTGCAGCGCCTTCTTTTAGCTAATGCTACTGTTATCGATGCATCGCCTCTCCAGATCTACCACTCAGCTCTTCAATTTGCGCCAGAGAGGAGTATAATATGGAGATTATGGCCTATTAAGCTTCCTGCCTGCGTTTCATTGCTATCACCAATAGATTTGGACTGGAATGCATGTTTGCAAACGCTCGAAGGGCACAGCGACTGGGTTAGGTCCGTCGCATTCTCGCCCGACGGTCAGAGGCTCGCGTCGGCCTCTGACGACCAAACCGTCAAGCTCTGGGACGCGGCCACGGGCGCGTGCCAGACGACGTTCGAGGGGTTAACTTCCGCTGTCTCATTTGATGAAACAGGCTCGTACCTCCATACAGATTTTGGTACTAAATTGCTACACAAGCAACCAGCTGCTGGTCCAGCAGCGGTTCAAGCTCATTTACCACACCAAGAGGGTATTGGCATCAGTGCTGATCGAGCATGGATTACCTGGAATGGAAAGCACTTTTTGTGGCTGCCTACTGAATACCGTGGGTCGTGTACAGCCAAAACAAAATTGACAATAGCTTTAGGCTGTTCATCCGGGCGGGTGTTGTTCTTCCGGTGTCAGGAGCTCCTTGATAGAGAAAGTCTTCCTTGAATTGAATCCTCTTTTTTCTTTTCTCTTTGCTCGTTTCCGGGTCGTAGGGGGCCGCGCACTTTTATAGGTTTGCGCTACTCAAAAGGTATGTTGGAATCGTCTAGCGTTTTCCATTATAGTGGCGAACGTGTTTTGCCACAGCATGGCAGTACGCCGTAGATGTTACGGGCAGTAGGCCCTCACGAGATGGGATTAAATAGCGACCCACGTCCTGATAAGGGCGATAAGGTGGGCGCGCACAGGATATCGATTCTACACGCGACCCTCCCTGCGGGCCTCGATCTCTTTTTAAGAAACCAACCTACCGTTACCACCAGCCATAATAAGATCGTTCCCCTCTACTGATCGTTGTGACAGTAGATATGAGCAGCCAATTGTAAATAAAGAAGCTTTGGCTATAGCGCCTGTTGATTCGTCATTGTACAGGCCTGCAGAACGACTGTCACACGGAGGCGACCACTAGGAATAGCTTCACCCGGGATCATGGCTCGCGCGCCTGCATAAAATAGGCACCGACAGTTCAGGGCCAATCCCTGAACTGGGGCTACCAATCGGGCCAACGGCCGGGCCAGGAATGGGTAAACTTGGGGCACGGGCCACTCGTTCAGGGATATATAATCCTGGCCCAACCCCGGGATCCCTTCAGCAGATTCTGGCCCCTTAAGCATTCCTTGAGGCCATGAAAAGATTATTAGCTTCATCAATGAGAATCACACCTTTCAAGCCTGCTTTGCACCCTTGTGACAACGACCGCAGGTAATCCTACCAAGTAAACCTTAAAATTGAAGATGGAGAGAGTGAGTATGAGTATATTTAACGTCAGTAAGTCGGGATCTACCAGTCCCTGCCTCACAGGGGGCATATGACGTGCTAGCGCTACCTAAGCTAACATTAGGCTACATGTTGCTATTAAGGCGGCTAACAAATTAAACCCGAAGGCACACGGAAGTCGGGCCGCATTCCGGCACTCCTTGTTAGTGAGCGGGCGATCGGCGGTAGGGCGTATGTGTATGCGCCGGGGCGCTGTGAAGCGCTGCGGGTGGTAGTGATGCTGTCGGCCGGCGGGTTGCCGGAAAAGGGGTAAGGCCGGGTTTGGGCGGGGGGATCCTCGGGACCTCCCCTGAGCCCGGCTGTAGGTGCGGGGGACTAACGAGCCTACTGTTGGTCCTGGTAGTATAAAGGAAAAGGTAAAAAGTGTAAAAGAAAAAGGGAAAAGGTTATATGCGGGCTTTTTGGGCCCTATTGTTATCGTCTAGCGATAGTGTAATAGTTAGTGGCATCGACGAACGAAGCAAAAAGGAAGGGCTTTTGGAGAAGCCGTTTCAAATATCCGGGCCTATCAAAGGCCGGGGAAGGGTCCGCTATAGGCCATTTGTTTTCTGTTGCCCTAGCCAGGTTGCAGAAAACAGGGTGTGAGGGGGATTTGTTTCTCCCGCAAAGGCACGGGTTGTCGTCCTCGTGTTTATACTTCCGGTGGTACCAGTCGAAATCCCCGTGGCCTGTGCGTGCGGCTATTAGCCGCTGCAGTACCTTCCGGTGTAGTTGCAGAGCGTCGGGTGTATGCTGTGGGGTCGACGGAAGGCCTATAGCCTTGTATCGTTCCGGAAGGTTATTTTCGAACCAGGCGTTCCGGGCGTCCCAGGCCATTTTCCTAGCTAAAGCTTTAACGCCGGCCACTGTTGGCTTGGCGTGTTGGGGTTTTGCTTCGGCGTCGGCTTCCTCGTTCCCGGGGATTCCCGTATGTCCTGGGGACCAGCGGACGTGTACCCGGTGTTTGTTCATAAAGCAATGGACCTCCTTAAAAGCCCCTTGCGAACTATCAGGGGCCGTGCTTAAAAAGCCGTTGGCCGCCGAAGTGTTATCAAGGCATAGGTGGTAGGTGCAGTTGCGGAAGTTCCAAATAGCTTTGCGGAGGCCCATTCGGGCCCCTTCCGCCTCGCCGTCGAATACTTCAGCGGGGTGCGCCAGCCTGCCGTGCCCGGAAAGTTTACGTTGGCCGGCTTGGTGTATTACCCAGCCGTATCCAACTGCTCCTTCCTCTGCTTTGGACCCGTCACTGTATATTATAATGTCCGTGGGAGGGAGGGTGTTTAGCCACGCCATGAAAGCTATAGCAGCTGTACGCTTTTCTTGTGTGGCCACCGTGGCCCTTGTATATCTGTAGGGGAGGTAGGCCGGGCGAGCGCAGGCCGGAAGCAGTTCAGCTGTCCTTTGTAAACAGGTCGTATGCCTGCCGGGTAGGCCCGCCCTAGGCCCTCGGGCGTTAAAGGTCGGCTTGGCCGCTGCGGCCGAAGGGTGATTTTCCGGAACCGTATTAATGCGAGCTGCAAAGCGGAAGCGGACTTGTTCCAAAAGCGCTTCGGCGTTTGGAATGCCGGATTCGTAGTGTAAAGCTTTTACCGGTGTGGTCTTCCATGCTGGAACCACTGCCCGGAGAGACGTAACTAAAGCTTTATTAACCCGTTCGATTAAATGGCCTTGGCGGATGCGTTGATACTGTGCAGACTTGTAAGGGTGTGGTTTGGTTTTACCCTTGTACCACACTTCGGCCCCGTATAGTGCCGTTAGGATAATAACCGTCGTAACGGCTTTGTGCACCGAGTGCGCCGGTAGCCCTCCCACCGAGTGGGTAAGCCTCCGGAGGTGGTCGGCAATGTTTAGGGCTTTTGCAACCCTGTTGTTAACGTGCGGCCCGAAGTTAAGCCTTTGGTCGAAGAAAACGCCTAACCATCGTAAGGTTGGCGGGCTTCCAGGGCTTCCCGTAGCTTGTTGTATAGTAAGGCCTTCCGCTGTAACCGCCGGCTGGGTCGCCGGCAGCTGGACCGGCGGCACAGTTTCCTTGTCGACGAGACATGCCGTGGCAAGATGTACGATTCTGGACGGCTTGCAGCATACACCCCTCCAAGGATTGTAAAGGTTACGGTCTGCAAATCCTTCCTAATTAGGCCACGTCCCAGCTACATTTTTTCTCATAGAAAATCCCGCCAAATTAATGTGCCGCTACCCGCACCTCCATTTGCCTAGAATCCCCTGTTTGAGACCCCGGCCCGGGCCCAATTTGCACAGAATTAACGCGTGCACCAACGCGTGCACCAATCTGCACGGCGATACCTTCAATTTAACACACTTTAACGCCGGCGATCCGCACCGCGATACCTTCAATTTAATGCCCTATCAACTACAGGCCCGGCCCGACGCGCGCGCGCGTTGGGCGCCCTACCTACGGCCGGCCTTCCCTCCGCAACCCTCGACGCCTTCCGCCTGCCCGCCGGCCTGCCCTCCCGTTGGGCCTCTCGCGACACCTCCTCTCTCGACCCCTCCGGCCTGCCCTCCCTCAACCCCTCCCAGGCAACTTGCCAAAGAGCTTGATCGCGATACCAAGGTTGAAGCACACGCCCTTTAAAAATATATAGGTTTATCCTATACAAAAATTGCAGAAGCAATGGGAATCACTCGCCGCCAAGCTCAACGCGCTTGCGAAGGTCCTATCACCCTCCAAAAAGCCGGCAAACCTGGCCCTAAAAAGAAGGCTACCGAAGAGCAAATACGTGCGTTGCAAGAGTTCCTGCACCAAGACCCTCGTTATCGCCAGATTCCCTGGGCTGACCTCCGGCTTGTTGTCCCTAGGTTTGAGGGCTGGGGTGTCACGGCCGGATAATCCTAGACCTGTCGCGAGGACAATGATCTATTGGCACCTATAGACGAAGATTCCATGGTGAGGAGGAAGGAAGTATTGTACATGACGGAGGGGAACATGGTGGGGTTTTATGGTTAAGTTCCTCTCACGTGACCTATCTCCCTGCCTTGGTGCCTAAACCGTCACATGGGGTAGAGACGCGATGGCTTCCCTGATGGCCTCTTTGCACTACAAACGTCAACGCCAACGTATCAAGCTTCCTCTCACGGCCCGAACCCGCCAGAAAGGAGTCGACTTTGCGAATTGGTTCTTATCAAAATGGCCAACGGAAGAGCATTGGGTGCACGGCGGATACGGTCCTTTCCTTTGGTCTGACGAGGTTTGGTACTGTAACCAACCACTAAAGGGCCAACGATATATAACAGTTCACGACTGCGAGGATCCAGCAACCTTTACCCTCCTGCGAGAAAAAGGCCACGGATTTATGTTTTGGGGCTTGTTTGCAGGCAAGACCAAAGGGCCGACCTACTTTTGGGCTGACAAGACTTCCATGGACGCTCCTGAGTACTCCAGGCGTATAATTCCTTTTGTTTTCGACTGGTTGGAGTCTCAAGGCCGTCCGCGCCTGTATTTTCAACAAGATAACGCCCCTTCGCACACTTCCCAAATTACAAGGGGTTGGCTCAGCGACTTGGAGATCCTCCTGGTAATCTGGCCTCAGCATAGCCCGGATCTTAACCCTATAGAAAACGTATGGTCCTGGATAAAAGGTTGCTGGAAATGCACTATAATTTGCAGCGCCTAACACTTACACAACTCCGGGCCGCTGTTCAAGCTGCTTGGGACGCAGTGCCTGCCGAGTTTTTAGAGAAATTGTCCCGTTCCATGGTTAAACGGCTGCAGGAGGTGATAGCGAACAACGGTAACCACATTGATTACTAGCAAGTTGAACGGTCAGTCAAAATACATCAATTTCTACTACAAATTGTGCGTTGGATCATGTACCCCTACTTGACCTCTAACCCCTTATCCCCCCCCCC